GCGCCTGGTCGGGAAATGTCATGCCCCTTACCATAGCCACCTGCGAGTGTAAATCAGTGTAAATATTGAGTCAAAATCAAATCTATTTGAGCGCGGTTTAAACCCGGATGATTGTAACCACTCCAAGTTCGTCTGCCTTGGGGAAACTAGCGCATCTCTGACATAGGCGCCTGGTCGGGAAATGTCATGCCCCTTACCATAGCCGCCTGCGAGTGTAAATCAGTGTAAATATTGAGTCAAAATCAAATCTATTTGAGCGCGGTTTAAACCCGGATGATTTTCTGTCTTGTGAAAACTAGCGTGTCTCCGACATAGTGATAACACTCGTTGCCTTCTCTAGTGCAGCTCAACCAGGTCTCGTCCCATTCGTCGTATTTGTGATATCACAACCCCCGGAAAATATGTGTTGTAGTCCAAACGAGTCGTTCGTTGTAGTTTTTGAAAAGTGATTTCTGTTAAATAAAATATCTCCTTTTGAAGTGGACTTTGAGCTTTGTAACTTTGCAGATCTTTTTTAAGCTCAAACAGCAACATTACAGACTAATTAAAGTTGAAAAAGTGAAAAAGCATAATAGGACCCCTTTAAATTAATAATTGTATTCAGCAAGGTATGTATTCAACTGATCAGGACTTTTATATTATAAAAAAAAATAAACTTACTTCTAAAATGTATATTTTTCAAAAATATATTTATCAAAAAATAAACAGTTTTCAACACTGATAATCATCAGAAATGTTCTTGATCAACAAATCAGCATATTAGAATGATTTCTGAAGGATCATGTGACGCTGAAGACTGGAGTAATGATGCTGAAAATTCAGCATTGCATCAGAGGAATAAATTACATTTTATAATATATGCACATAGAAACCAGTTATTTTAAATTGTAATAATATTTCACCATATTACTGTTTTTATTATATTTTTCATCAAATAAATGCAGCCTTAATGAGCAGAAGAGACACAGATCTTGAATGGCAGTTTATAAATATTGTCAAAAGAGATTTCAAACTTGTATGATTGAGGCCAACAATATTTTTGGATTAAATCCTTCATCGTTGATGTCATCCAATAAAGTATAATAAACACATTTTACAATCTGAGGACCACTGGGATGATATTTCTACAAGCACAGGCCTTCACCGTGAAGGACAAGGACGACTAAAGACAGGCCAGATAAGCAGAAATAACTTGATGCAGGTTACAGGATCAGCACGGCAGGATGTCAAATTTCCAGCTGAAGTCTTTTTGTCTGTGAATGAAGTATGACTTGCAGAGTTAGCGATATCCTCGCTGCGCTTTTTATGAGCCCTGAGAAATACCTGAAGGACAAGAGAACCTCAGCCGGCACAGAACGACCTCCTGTCTCTCCTCGTTAATGCCTGAACAATTCATCTAAGTGGAAATACTGTAAAATGAGTCTCAATTTCTCCCAAGGTTTCCCCCTCATTATATCATAACCTCTTTGTAAGTCCCCCCTCCCTTTTATAAGACTACTATGGAACAAAGTGTATTGTATTAATAGCTAAACAAATCAATGGAAGAGCATTATTAGTGGGTGACTTTTTCAAATGTTTTGTTGTCTGTGTCTGTATGTCTGAGAGCCAAGCAATTTTTTAAATGTGTGTGTGTGTGTATATATATATATATACATTTATTTTTAAAAAATGATAACATTTTGATAATTATAAAAATAATTAATAGGTTGATCAGACCATCATTCTTACTTTACACCCCGGCCAATAACTCAACAAATCCAACTTTTCTCTTTGGCACTTGTTGGTCTGTTGGACCCTGATTGTAGCTTTGCACACATTACATTGCTGGCATGTTATCCATGGCATGATTCTTTTTAGCTAAGTGTCTGACTGCAGTTTGGATTTACTATGGAGATTTGTTGGGATAAGATGGGTCAGGGCAACTGGGGCCGAATCAAGCAGAAGGGCGAGAGGTTGCCCTAAAACCGCCATATGGGGAAATATGTCTGTCTGAGAGCCGAGCACATCATGTGCCTGTCATGGGTTGTGGTGTAAGTGTGTGATGAGGGCGAGACGTAAACAGATATACACAAAATAATGATCTTTAAAAAAGCATCATATGACCCCTTTAACATCTATGGGACACTCTTCAAAATAAAGGTACCAAAAATTAGTTTTGCCTTATTGTCATAAAACCATGAATACTAACAATGAACTTTTATTTTAAGAGTCAATCTTTCCATTACACTAAAGGTTCTTCACAGTGAAGAAATGTTATTTAAATTTATATAAGCATTCCTCACACCAAGAAATAGCAGTTTCTTTCTGCTATTAATAAGAAAATAGCAGTCCGGGAACCAAACATGGTTTCCTTTTTTTTTTTTTTTTCCTTTTTTTTTTTAAGGGTGGTTATTAAAAGTTCTTCATGGAACCATTGATGCCAACAAATAACCTTTCATTCAAGAATGTACTACTCTAAACTAGTATCCTCGTGGTGGCAAAGACAAAAAGCAGTGATTTGTGTGAAAGGATTAGACGCATTCGATACGTTTGGTCTTGGCCGACTACTGAGGGTTCACAGGGATTAGACACAGCTGATTAAGAGCTGGCCAGCTGAGGGAGGTCACCGAAGATTGTTTACCACCGAGCGTTAATGAATACTCCTTACTAGACCGCAGAAAGACAGTATGTCTGAGCATGTGTGTGTATAAAGATTGACGTCTTTAGGAGCTCAATGGGAAGATTAGTGAGTTCACTGACTGGAGGTGACTAGAGTAGAACCCATTATATGCTCCGTGGCTATTTGTCTCATTTAGTGGCTCGTTACGCGCTGTAGTCAAGGAGAACCAAACTCGCAGGACACGCTGAGAGGCTATTTCCAAGAAATTCATTGCACTAGCAGTTAATCCAGAGTCAAAACCTCAAGCGACCACCCTTAAAAAGGTGCCATGGTTTCCCACACTCGTTTGGCTGATGAGTTTCTCTGAGTTTTCGGGTCATTTTAGACATTTCCAGTCACATGTAGGTCCCCTTATTGTAGATGATTCACATATTAAGAAAGAAAGAAAGAAAGAAAGAAAGAAAGAAAGAAAGAAAGAAAGAAAGAAAGAAAGAAAGAAAGAAAGAAAGAAAGAAAGAAAGAAAGAAAGAAAGAAAGAAAGAAAGAAAAAGATTTGTTCGTGAATAATAAAATAAATGTATATTTAGAAAATAGAAAATACATACATTTTTAATTTATAAG